GACCACCACAACACATAGCCACACTCGTATTTCATACAATTCATTGACATTTTCTCTGAATTACAAACTGATTAAAGAGTAGGTCAGGTTAAATAAATCAAAAAGTAGCCTAAATAAAAAGGTAGCCTATGAAATTGTATTATTTTTCATTGTCTCTCTGGCTGTGTCATTCTGCAAACAGGGCACCGCACCTTAAACTAACTCAAGTGTTTACATGGTTCTTCTGTCATAATTAACTTTAAACATGCGTCAAATAACACACGCGCATAAACCCAGAGGAACTTAATTATTTACGTAACTGGATATGAGTATCGTGTTGTTGTAACTATGTCAGCTATTGTTTGTTACTTTATTTAACCTGGAAGAAACAGGTAGTGATGATGACCACAACGATTACGGCTATAATCAAGGATGAGTCGTTAATATACCGACATGCCACACGATGGCAGCATTATTACGGTCAAATGTTAGAGCGCTCGTGAGCACTTGGCTCAAACCCCTTTGAAAAGTGAGATTTATGTAGGCGACAGTACCAGTCAAAAGATTGGAAACATTACTATTTTTTATGTTTTTGAAAGATGCTCATCAAGCCTGCATTTATTTAATCAAAAATACAGAAAAAAACTGTAATATTGTGAAATATTATTACAATATAAAATAATGGTTTTCTATTTTAATATGCTATAAATATAATTTATTTCCGTGATGCAAAGCTGAATTTTCATTAGCCATTACTCCAGTCTTTAGTGTCACATGATCCTTCAAAAATCATTCTAATATGTTGATTTATTATCAATGTTGGAAAATATTTTTTTGGAACCGGTTATAGTTTTTCTTTATTCATTGATGAATAACAAGTTAAAAAGAACAGCATTTATTCAAAATTAAAATCTTTTATAACAATAGAAATATTTATTATCACTTTTTATCAATTTAGCACATCCTTGCTGAATAGAAGTATTAATTTCTTTAAAAAATATACTGACCCTAAACTTTTGAACTGTAGTGTATATTATTACATAAATAAATAAATGCTTTTCTTTTTTTTTTTACTTTTTATTCATCAAAGGATCCTGAGAAAAGTATCACAGGTTGTAAAAAAAAAACATTAAGCAGCAAAACTGTTTCCAACATCAATAATAAATCAGCATATTAGAATGATTTCTGAAGGATCATGAGACATCATGGACTGGAGTAATGATGCTGAAAATTCAGATTTGCATCACAGAAATAAATTATATTCTAAAAGCATGTTAAAATAGAAAGCCATTATTTCAAATGTCAATAATATTTCACAATATTACTGTTTTTTTCTGTTTTTTTGGTCAAACAAATGCAGGCTTGATGAGCATAAAATACTTTTTAAAAACATTAAAATTAGTAATGTTTCCAAACTTTTGACCGGTACTGTATTTGTAAAGATATTTTCATAAAAGAGAGCCATGAAGCCTAAAGTGTCCATAAAATGTATAAGCTGACCGTTAGTGGTATGTGTTTATGAGATATTACAGTAGGTCTATATCTTTTCATTAATCATATATATAATTTGATGCCACTTGACTCAAAACTTTAGTTTGCAAGTTTCAAAACTGTAATTGACCCGAGAAAAATGTTGAATCAGTAAAAATCAGTGGGTTTATTTCTTTTATTTAAAAAATTAAAATTAAAGTGCTTTTATGTACAATATAATAAAAACAACAAAACAGTAGTGATGTATAATACAAAAAATACATTTCACAACAGGTTTTTTTTCTTTACATTGGCAGCAAAATGTACAAATACACCTTTACATTAAAGTTTACAAGACATTAACTTACAATAGATCAGAGCATCTTGGTGCGCCATTATAAAGAATGTATCTGAGCATTTAAGAGTGTAACAGACTAATGCAGTCCAGTAACTCTTATGTCCGAGTCAGTTCAGCACTGAAATATGTGACTATACGACTATCTATATACGTAACTAAATCTACCGCTTGTAGGTAGCAGCTGATGTACAGTGAAGTTTTCACATTGTCTACTCCGTAAAACGGCACGCTAGTGATAATAATCTGATGATGTACTGAAAAACAGAAGCAAATTTGCTTAGTTTAAATGATTTTTGCATGATATTTTGAATGTGATTTTTAAACAGAGGTCTGAGTATATGTAAAACAGTTATATTATTATTACAAATACATGTTTTTTTCTTTTTCTGTGCTTGAAATATGTTCAGTAAGTGTTTTGTGTTTGTGTGATTGATATATATATATTTATATATTAGGGGAGCTCTGTAGATATTAATAAGCACAGTGGAGACATACCCTTGCAGTGGACTGTTGCACAGAAGACCAATAGATATACAGTGGTTTTCGACTTTAGGTAATTCTACTGTGTAGTCCACCAGAGCAGACATGCATGTGAGGTTTGCTCTTTGTTCACGTGTTTTAGTCACAAAAATGGCTACAATATTACATTTGCTTTCCCACAAACCCTTTAAGTCACAAAATCAAGCTCAGAGGCTTTAACAAAACCATTCAGTTGGTACTTGCTACAGCAATGTCAGGAGAACATTCATCCCCAGACACTTTCATTCCAACCATTGCCACATTCTGTGCAAATACAATAGGAAAAAAAGCAGAATTGTAATGCAATTTGGTAAAAAAAAAAAAAAAGCAGAATGTTCATAACATTCCCTTACAAATACAATTGTACAACTTTGTGATCAAAGTCATTGTCCGTCAATATCATGTAAAAGTAAATGTCCCGCTTTCAAACATTCAGCATAAATTTAAATAAGACACAATGTTTCTATTGAAAGAAGAATTTTGGAACACTTTCAATCAATACATAACTACATTCACAATACAAATGTCTGTGTGATCTTTAAAGATCAATGGCAATGAAACATTACACACTTGGGTGGTGCAATATACAATGCTCGTCTTTGGGAATTTTCCTGGAAAATTTGATAATGGAAATAGATGTTTCTTAAAAATTATTATTTGTGTCTGTGTATTCTTAACTATACATTTTTACATGGATCCTTATGTTGATGCTATACTAACTTACATTTGCGCGGAAGTTATTATCCCCATCCCCAATGCTTTGCAGTAACCAAGTAATGTAGTGTTTGAAATAGAACCAGTATGTCACTCTTGGCAGCTGATGATTTATAACGTAGTTTCATATACCTATATGTCATTGCTCCCACCCAAAAACATCTGTTAGCCTGCTTTGACTTAAGGTGTTATAGTGAACATGGCACTTTTTCATGAAAAAAAAAAAAAAATCTGCTGGTCACTTTACACTCTTCAGGAGCATAGGTCTCATAACTTAGCGTAAAATTGGCATGTAAATTCGTTTTCATTATGTCCGAATGCAAATTCATTATTCAAATTTACAACATGGCAATATAAATGTCTTTAATCTGAGAGAAGTACACTTTTGAGTCAAGAGAATAGCTCTTGACATATCCGTCAAGACCACTTGGGCTTCTGAGAGATGTGAAATGAGAGAATCTAAAATCTTTTGGCACAACAAAAAAAAATTGTATCAGTAAACAATCTCAAGAGACGTTTGGTCACTTCTATTGACTATTATGCACTGATTCAAGAAATATTTATGTAGAAAATTCTGCTTTCATTTACTCACGCTCATGTTCTTCCAAAACTCTATGACTTTCTTATGCTGAGCACAAATAGAGATAATTTGAAGAACTGTTTTTGTCAGTGAGGGCCAAAACAACATTGGACCCCATTGACTTTTATTGTTAGGACAACAACAACAAAAAAGCTAGAACTTTGGAGAATGATAAAAGGTGAGTAAATGATGACAGAATTTTCATTTTTGGGTGAACTATACGCTTTAAACCAGAGGTTCTCAACCAAACGGGCTTCAAGATAACTTAAGACTGAATAAGCAATTAAATAAGTCAAAACAAACTAAAAATAAACCCCCCAAAAACTTTTTGTAGAACCAGGATTCCAAAAATCTCTATATATGTATGAGAAAGCCTCATTTTAAAAGTGTGATTTGAAATATTATTATTATTTATTAAATGCTTAATGCTTATTTTGTTGTGGACAATGGGTGCTGGAGTCAAAAAGGCTGAGAACCTCTGCTTTAAATTATTTTTGAATTCCATTGATCAATTAGCAACTGATTGTGATTGGGGTATAAAGAATATAGAGAGAATCATATTTCTGCATCTTCAGAATGTAATTTGTGCCTTGGGATGTACTCTTAGTATTGCTAACATGCCTTCTTTGGAGTCCTCTACACATTGAAACCCCATTGTGGGCTCTTTATATGCCTCAATCTCACTTGCATACTTTATTTAACATGTGTACCTCTGAGAAGCGGTGTAGAATACTGAGGTCGTGGCATCACTTATTGTACTAGGACAGCCGTGTACTGTTTTGTTAGCTCTCTACACGAAGCTTCTCCTTTATGTGATTTGCATAGTATGCCTGCTATGTGCTGAGGTCATGATGATATACTGTGCAAAGGTTTTGCATATACCATCAAAGCTTTGTTTTGATGCACCACTACATCTTACATTGTGTTGAAATGTCAGCTAATCATCTCCCGTCAGGCACTATGTTTAGCAGAGACTCTATTCTAGACTAAAGTTTGAATCTTCTCGTTCACAGGACGACCAACTCTACGCAGCAGACCGAGGGATGAGATGGGAGCATGACAGGTTAGTGAACCCTGAGGGCATCGTATTGCTTTCACACAGATGCCACCAGACATTTTTGGACGGAGGACCGGGGCGGGACGACTGGATCGGCGTCTCTCGCAATGCCCGCCTTATTTTTTCAAAGTGTACCCGAGGCCTTGCGTCCCGCTCGTCGTGGCTCTGGGTGCTTCACAGACTTGGCAGTGACTGAGAAATGTGAACAGATCACCAAGACAAAATGAGAGGAGACAAAGTGCAAAATAAAACCCAGTGATGGTACGTTTCCAGTCATTTTCAGTCTGTCCCTCCCTTGGTGCTGTTCAGTTCAGAGGCCACTATTTTAATTTTTTTAACAGTCATCCCAAACCAACTTAAACAATCGAGTCTTTGATTTCCGAGCCCAGTCGTACTCGAGGCCGCGGGCAAGTCGGCGAGATTTCCACGTGGCTCTCTTTTAAGTTCAATGGCCTCTTTTCGGATTCCGAGAAGCTCTTGCTGTTCTCGGGTGAGGAGCATTCGTGGGTTGGAGTGCTGCAGATGTAGTTATCATTGAGCGTCTGGTAGCCCTTGTGGTCAGACACAGAGGGCGGGATATTGTTGCCGTTTAATGGAAGGCTTTCCGTGTGCTTCCCTGGAATTCGCGGTTTCTTCTGTTGCATGTTGGGGCACTCGCCTTCCTTCAGCATGGACTTCATCCTATCTCGGTTCCTGTATGCCACAAACAGCGACAGGACCACCAGGGAGAACACCAGTAAGGCACACACAACAATCAGTTCATTCCAGTACGTTTTGGTTTTCTGCGGCGACCACGTTTCCCCGGGCAGGATAATCGCCTCCCCTTGGGGCACGAGCTGCGTTCGGGATCGTCCAGTCAGGGTGGTGCTTTCGTGCTCTGCTTTAACGCAATAATTGGCCAGAAGTTGTTGGTAGCCACCTTCTTCAGACCAACATTCATAGATCTCCTCCCTGTCCACTTGGGCTACGACCACCAGGCCGCCGTCAGGACTAGGGTAGACGAATCGCTCGGCGGTTTGACTGTACTCCCATCGCCTCTCAGCCAAGTTGGATCGCAGCTTGCAGGGTAGAACCGTAAATGTGTTGACAGGTATTTGTACCACATGACATGATGGAACACCTGTGGGAAAGATGGTCTTATTAGTTACTAATAAATCAAACATAAATCTGACATATTAGCAAACCACCACGCAACCACTTCAATCACTTACAGTCTATCAGAGCATCTTGCCGGAGGCACTATGTAAATGCGTTTGGTCATGCCACATGCCACAGTGCTTTTGTAACTGTCACAGCTTGCCTTAGCCTCATGCACTCTATAGCACTTTGTGGTTTGTTGGAAATAAATTCTACAAATTGTGATTCACACTGTTTAGATATTGTAAAGGGCCTTTCACGGTGAGCGTGATTAAGCGATGTATTTCGCGATGACGCTCTAGAATCGAAACAATGGATTCTAGAAACAATGGAACTATTTCCACCGGGAGTGATCAATCGCAGTGATTTCGCGGCTAGCGTGTCGTTTTTTTTTTCTTCGTTGCCCCGCGATGAAACGAGCCGTCCAATTAGCTTTCAGCTTACCCGAGCCGCTGCTGTTGCACAAAAGTGTGAGAGTGATGCCGCTATTTTGAAAAAGTGTACACCAAAGAAAAGTATGAATGGATGTTGAGTGTCATCAGTGGTGTTTAGGAACAGATTTATTCTTACATGTTCTTTATACAGATTATCATTTCTATTCATTTTCCACTGAATTATGCGATATGAAGAGTTTGAAAAGCATACAGAGTGTGTCAGAGAGCTCATTCGCTCCAGAGCTTCCAATCATATTATGTGATCGTAACTCCTGCCCTTCCGAATGGCGACGTTGAGTTCATTTCCTCGTTCTGAGTTCCGCACATAAACAACTGAGAAGCCAAATAAATATATGATTACGACGATAAATGTTCTGTGTTTTTCATGCGGCTCGGGGTCTTTTTTATAACAAGAATGAGAAATGCTAAGCAGGTGTTGCGTTCAGTTCATTATAAAACACTACAAATACTGCACGTCTGCCCATTTCTTTAATCAAAATCCACTTTAGATCGCAGTCGGAGGTTATTACATGCACTCGATGATGGTTTCTGTGTAGTCCCAAACTTTATTGATCTTAATTTACTGTTGTATGTCGTGCAGCGGAAAACCTACGAGATGCATACATGAGGAGAAATGTATTCTTGGTCAGCGCCACCTATCGTGCCGGCGTGAATTAGCTGAAGGCAAGTGAAAGCGCCATTCGTCAGCCATTCGCTTGGCTTTATCGTGTCATGCTCAGTGTGAAAGGGCTTTTAAGCATGGCTTTTACTCACGTGGTGGAGTCGGCCTTGCAGAACGAGGGCTTGGCATTGTCATTTTGCACATGGCAGTGTTGGCATCATCCACATCTTGTTGCCATTGACTAGGAAGAAAAGAGCAGAGACTAAAATTCAGTTCATACATAGAGTAAACTAAAAAAAAACCTTCAAAAGTTTAAGTTTTTTTTTTATTACTACTTTAATCTGACAAGAAGACATTAAATTGATCAAAAGTAACTGTAAATAGATTTCTAATGTTATAAAAGATTTATATTTCAAATAAATGGTGTTCTTTTGAAATTTTATAATTTAATAATTTATGTACGTGTGTGTTTTGTGAAAATAATTTATGTGTTAATGTTTTAAACTCTATTTTATTACTTGTTAGTATACTAATTGAAGTGCAATAGATACTAGTACAACAAGTCATGGAAATATGCTAACCTCTTAGTTGGAGCATGTTTGATATTTGAACACTGCTTCCCTGTCCAGGCACAGTAAGGATCTCTAGACAACACACACTCTCCACAGCTCTGGTAGTTGGAGCAGTTGGCAAGAGGGATTTCAACCAGCCCAGAATAGCTGGACACAAACAACAGTCCCTGTTGGAAGCGCAAACACATCAGAAATTAGACACTTTCTCAAGACGGACACTCCTTAGGACAATCTATCTAGAGAACAATCAAACATCCAGTGTAGAAAGACGCTTGAAAAACATACTGTAAATGCTAATAGATGTTAATTGCAAAGACAGAGGCAATAGGCCTTTTTAAAATAGCTCATATGGTGTAACATATACATATGAAGTATAGACTGAGTAGTGTGTAGACAGAGCAGACACTGTTTGTTTCCCATCTGTTCACACACAGTTCCCCAGAGCAGAAAACAGGGACGCAATTATCTCCCTCCCAGGCCTCGCTATCTCTACGGTTGAAGGGTCCTTTTTCCGGCCGCGCTGTCATTTCGCTAATGCATAATGTTCTTCAGCATGCATAACAAGTACAAAGAAAGTAAATGAGTTTAAGGCACCTTCTCATCATCCAGTTCGATGTGTTGTACAGAAAGAGGCTCGGGGAAAATCACCAGCTCTTCAATAATATACATCTTGTGATTAACGTTGATGGCTTTGTGAATCCTGCCATCATCTGAAACGAAACACAAGTGATGTGAGACGAAGCTTTCATGATTTTTATAAAGTATACCTAAGAATACATTTAATATTGTTAGTAGTATTTCAAGATTAACACTTACTAGACTGAAGCAACTAAGGTTTACTTAAAATGTGAGTATCAAAGATGACCGATACATCATGCTTTTGATTAACAATTATTTTTACATCTCGCAATGACAATTGAATTGCATTGCATTTTCCCCCCACAATTAAATCTACAGAGCTTTGATCATACAAACCAAGCATTTAAATATCATCTTACTAAGACATTATTGTGATTATCATAAAAGCCGGATGTATCAAATATCATACTCACAGCTTATTTCATTTATCTTTCTTTGTGTTTGACAGAAAATGAGTAAATGATGACATTTTGGGGTGAACTACCCCGCACTGAATCGGTAGTTACGAACCAGCATGAATGTGTAAAGCAACAGATAAAGTCATGCTGCTTGATATAAAGGTTTGATATCCTGGACTTAAAATCCCTTATAGTAAAACTTAATGGGGATTAGGGCAACAATCAAAAAGCCTTTAATGCAGGAATATTAGTATAAAATCAGATTTGCTATGGTGTATTCCTGAGCTTTACATGCACATGCTGTGTTCTAAGACTTCACCTGTGCCGATGAAGAGCACATCGTAGGTCTTGTGAAGAGCCTGTACTCGGTGCACAGCGAGCTGCGTGTAGCGCACGTTTCGTTTGAGGAGCAGAGGCTGGCTGCGAATCACGCTATCCATGAGGAAGTGGTCCTTCACAAAGTTCAGCACTTTATCAGGCATGTGCAGAGAGGACGAGATCCCTTGGGCACGGGCCGCGTTGGTGATGCACTGCATGAAGATGGAAAAAGATGCTTCAGAAACACTGCACAATATCTAAATCGCTCTTTTTCTCAGTGATGTTTGGTGAGTGGCAGCTTAATTACGCCAAAATCAATGTAACTTTCAACACAAACACCAATGTCAAGTCAGATTGGAAGTGTGATTGAAAAGGTCGGTAACACTTTAGTTTAGGGTCCAATTCTCACTATTAACTAGTTGCTTATTATTAGCATGCATATTACTAGGATGTTGGCTGTTTGTTAGTACTTATAAAGCACATATTAATGCCTTATTCTGTATGACCAGATTCTACATCCTTTAATTCTACCCAATACCTAAACTTAACAACTACCTTACTAACTATTAATAAGCCGTAATTAGGAGTTTATAGTTAGAATTGGACCTTAATCTAAAGTGCGACCCAAAGATCTTGAACTCAGACGACCTGAACTCACGGTCAAATAATCTCTGCGTAATGCTGCCTTAGAATGAAATATGTTAGCTAGAATTGGCATGTGAAAATCTTATTACAACCGTTGACCAGTATAGAAGATGTTCTATAAGTCACTATAAAATCAATGTGGTCAGTTCTTATTTTTGTATGTAGGATTGCATTTATCAATGCATCATTAATTTTTTAGCCCATTTTTCATCAAACATCCAAATTCGCTAATGATGTGTGCACCGTTGCAAGAACGGGACAGTAATCTCTCCCTTCCAGCAACCTGTCACTCAGCAAAAAACGACAATGATCCAATCAACTCCTGATGGACAAATCAAGTCCCGTTCTTATTTTTTTCTCGTTCGAGAAGCCATTTCACTCGAATATACATCACAATCACAATTTTTATTTCATGCCGACTTTAATATAGGCTACAAGACAGTTTAAAAGAGATGGGTCAGTTTGGTCAATTAGTCGTCCACCAACAAACTAGTTTGTTGAGATCTTTTTCGAGTATCTTTTTTGGGTGTTTCTTCTCTTAAAGGGATAGTTCGCCCAAATATGTATACTTCTGTCATTATTTACTCACCTTCAAGTCATTCCAAACCTGTATACGGTAACTTTCTTTCTTCAGAGGAACAAAGGAATATATTCTGAAGAATGTTGGTAACCAAACAGCTTTGGACTTCCATTGTATAAGCAAAACAAGCAAACAAAAAACGCATGGACATTTCTCAAAATATTTTTACATCAGGCTGAGTAAATGATGACAGAAATGACATTTTGGGGTGAACTTTCCCTTTTAAGCACTGTGTTTTTCCTGACGCAGTGTTTTTTTTTATTTTTTTTTATTAAACACTCCTCAAATCCCCCACATTCGGTTCTGTTGCGTCCCATCGAGTTGTTTTTTAACATAACACGAAACGTACCGCTCCAGGTCTGGGTTCTGGTACTTGGTGGTTGTAGGTGTACCACTGCTGCGTCTCCCGATTAACTTCCCGGTAACGTCCATTAAACGCCTCTTCAACCTGATCCATGGTAAACGCACATACAGCTGAGCTTCCTGAAGCACCTTTGTACCTGTACACACAAACACAACATTCATTACAATCAGTATACATATGCATATTCATGACCACACTGTAAAATAACAACCTCACTTACTCACACCTTAAAGACTCAGAAACAGGAGCCGAAAAATCAGTGCACACAAAATGCAAAAGCGTCTAATTTAACCTCAGACATAACAGGTGCGTAGGCGGACACAAGAGGGAGGCTATTCTGAGTCTCGCTGACATCTCCTGCCTGTCCTGTCTCTTGTGCCCCATGTTAATGCACTCAATCAATACCCACAACTCCCACACTAAGTACAGCAAAAGGAGTCTGGTTGAGTGCCAGGCAGGGTTCAATAACAGAAATGAACGCTGAATTTCTTCTTTTTCTCAAAGGTTTAAGAGGAACACAAGCATAGCCACAATGGTATTCACTGTATTATCTGTATTCTAAATGCAATTTCAGGAGATACGTTACCACTGTGAGGTGAAGACTCCATAAAACACGGTACTCTTCCAGGCCTCTTTGCTGGGGGTCAGTACAAACATGTCCTGGATGATGTTGAAGGGGAACCCATCGTCAGGCAATGAACACAGGAGCTGGGCTTTCAGAAAGGTTGTCCATTTCTTTTGAAGAACCCTCTCTCCACCTTTATCGCCCTGTGGAAATACAGATCGAAATCAGTGTTATTTTAGTTTTATATTACATTTATCCATATTTGTTAGTATTAATTTTAGTTTTCATTTTAGTTTAAGTCATTTTGTTATGTGCTTTTGTCATTTTTATTAGATTTTTAATATATCTATTTATTAGATTTTTAACATTATTATTTTTAAAAAAAAATAATTTTAGTACTTAAGCTTACAACTTATTTCTATCAGTAAGTTGCCAAAGCAACATCTCTAATTTAAGTTTTTCATCTTATACATATAGAAATAAATATATATACATACTGTATATATATATATATTCCACAGCTTTATTTAAATGATCAAAAACCTTTGTTTTTTTACTAGTTTTAGTGTTAGTTAACAATGACAACCCTGACAAAAATGAGCCCTGTTAGGTGTTCCTGGTGCTCAACTGGTAGCATATGGTTTGATTCCCTGGAAACACTCAAATACTGGCAAAATGTAAACTCTGAAGTTGCTTTGGATAAAAGCGTCTGCCATAAATGTGAAAGTAAATTGAGGAGGATATGTGCAAAGACTTGTTATGAGCATTTCTGACCACGAGAGGGAACTAGAAGCTGCTGTCGATTCCAACAAGCTGGTGCATCAGCCAATGGAAAAGCTGATTATGATGGCAACTTTCTCTCTTACATAAAGATTTCAAACTGGACAAGGACTGCAGCTTCTATCACATGTTGTGCATTAAGACTGAGTACGACAGTGTGTTTTTGTAATTGAGGCCCTGAGGGTGTACAGGCCTTAACTTTGGTACTTTTAAGTCCCTTTAAACAAAACAGGCAGAATAATTCAAGGGCTTTAACGTCTATCAGAAGAGAAAACACAGCCAGTTATGAGAATTTCCCCATTAATATTATAGGTCTGTTTTGCTGTTCAACATAATAAAAAAGAAAAGACGAAAGGGAAAATGTGACTGTTGTTGTGATATAAGGAAATGATGTAACTAATTCTTGGATTAAAGACAATTGCTTAATCTGATACTGATTTGACTTCTCCCTTTGTTGTTAAGTATGATGCACTATTCGCTATGCTGTAGTTCATTATACAAAAAGTACCCTAAAAAGTAAGACAAATATTGGTTTAAAAAATAAGAGGCAAAGTGATCTAAAGATAAAAATACAGTTAGGAAAAGAAAAATTCATAGTGGAAACTTGAGGGAAGGGATGTTGGATAATAAACCCTATGACACAGGTGAAGAAGAACTAAATATTTTTGTTCTTCAGGAAAGCTTTATATTAGTGTCAACCCTCGCTCAAGCAGAACTTCACACTGAACACCTGAACAAACAAATGGCCAGAGAGATACAATCAAAGACGGGAACAGAAAGAGAAGTTTGGGCAAAGTGCAGGGCAGAGAAACAGACAAGAAGCACAAATGGCCTGAACGACAGCCAGAGGTACGTAAAGCAGAGGTCCCAAAAGCACAATTTGTATTCATCCATCTCAGCTGCTCTCCAAAGAAAATGAGCTTTCCTTTAATTATAATATTATTGTAATCCAGCACGCCTTCCCATACCAGCAGGACCGGCAACAACACATTCCAATAAAATCTTTTAAAGGGAAACTCCCACCCATCATTGAACAGCAGTTCAGCACTGTAAACAGCTGAAGGCTAAGATACACTGTAATCCATGAACGTACATACAGTAAATGTTCTTCACAATGTCATATAAAATTGCTAAGCTAATTAATCCATAATTGCTTTATTGGTTTTGGTCAAAGCTTATTTTAAGCATTTTTAAAAAAAGTTAAAATCCTTAATATTATGTATTAGCAAATGAATGTATATAATACATATTTTAATTATTATTATTTTTAATGTGGTTCAGTGTTGAGGAAAGTTATTTTTAAAAGTTATGCATTACAATATTGCATTACTCCCTACTTTGTTACTTCTTTATGGAAAGTAATGCGTTACATTACTTTTGCATTACTTTTTCTTACCAGGGCTGGGATTGCTTGTTTGTTTTTTTAATAACAACAACAACAACAAAAAAGTCAGCAGCAAAGACATTGGTTAATAAAGTGAGATTAAATACATAAAGTACATTTGTGTAATTGAACATATTTCATTATCGCAGGTTTGCAATTCACAGTTTTTATTCATTTTGAGGAACACTGAATCTGTTTTTGTGCAAGTGAGATGAGTAAATGCATGCTCACATTTATCTATTTATATATAATTCATATCAAATGTACATGTATATATAAATATATACATATATTTAGGGTATTTCTACAATGGCAGAACAGTGTATCTGAAAAGTGCACCTTTAAAAACTTAAAGGAGAAGCTTCCACATACTGTATGCCATTCATTTAAAATGAAACCAAAGGATCTGCTCATTGTCATTCTGAGTACAAATGATATGGTACGCTTTCAAATCCAAACCCCAGGTGCAATTCAGAAAGAATCTTAAAACAATAAGGAACTGTTGCAGCACGTAAATGGATAGTTTGACATGCATCACAGTTTCCACTGGAATCTGACATGGTCATCTGTGCAAAAGTGCACCAATATCCATATAGTGACACGTGACTGGAGGTAAGTTAGGAGTCAAAAAGAAAAGAAACCAAAATATAGAAAGAGCAGTGGAATTGAAATCATTCTCAGACTTCAAAAGCAAGACGAGAAGGCAAATGAATCTTGCAGATGTTGCACTCCGCACCGTTCAGAACAGACAGGGTCAGTGCTTTAACTGGCAACGTAGAGAGAGACTCTCTTTAGATTCAGATCACTCCCTGTGCGCAAATGCACCGATTTGAGATGAAGAGCATAAGCAAAGGGAAATCAAAAAAAAAAAAAAAAAAAAATCAAAGATGTGATAGGAAAGGGCTTGTGCATCGGCCCGTGAGCCTGGCTTTGTTGCATGTCACATCACAGAATGCACAACAATTAACTCCACTAATGGGCTTTGCAGGAGTCATTACGTTTGTTTACTATATGAGAGGAGATAAGGTACAATACCAAGAAAATGCAGCTTATAAACATAATCATTGCATTCCCTTCCTCATGGCTGGGCTCCAGTGGATCTGGTTGGAGGAATATGGGGCATGCTAAAAAGGGAACCTGGGATAATGTTTAAGGTAGTGGATGCCAATAAAGCAGGACACGTTCCCCTGGCATTGCAACCGTTTAACTGTCAGGAGGCATTTCATTCAGCCTGTGTGATAATCCATATTACAAGGCAGGAAGACTGGAGCGCGTGAACCCTCCATCGGCTGCCACTTGGTAATTTAGCTGGTGTGAAAACGGAAACCATTAGGTAATTCTTCTTAGTGAAGCTGGTTAGAAAAGCCTATTTGAATGAGCTACATGGCCATCGCTGAATGTTTCCATTCATCACTGTCATCACTGCGTTTAAAAATATCAACGGGTCAAAGTTACCATAGCACCCTCTTGCTAGTAGATGCCATACACTATCTGAACCCAAAAAGCATTTTTCTCCATTGAATGACATTCAAAATTGTGTGTATATTTTGACTAAATAGAGTTTTGACTTATTTTTGCAAGCAATGCTGATATTCAGACCAACAGCTTGGTTTTATGACACTGTAAAAAACAGAAGTACTTACATTTTAGACATGTTTTTGCCTATCTTTAGTGCTAAACAAAGTTTCAAACAAATCCAGCACACGGTTGTATTTAGTACCTGTGTTTCGTTTCGGTGGAGTGAATGATTCAGTGACTCACTCTTACAGATAAGTTTTCATTCCTGAATGAATCAGTGGTTTGAACAATTTGGCTGAATCAGTGATTTAATTATTTAGAGTCACTAATTAATCAGTGGTTTGAACAAACTGGTTAAGTCAATGATTGAATCGCTCAAAAAGAGAGTCACTTGTGTCGTTCCTGAATGATTCAGTATTGTGAACAAATCGTATGAGTTAGACCCCGAAGCCGCCGCCATTTGCGCCATTTAGAATTTCAGCCGCCGCCAGCCAATAATTTCATAAGCCAAATTGAGCCGCCATCTGATAAAGTTTGCATCAAAGTTGCATCAAATAATAATTATATCACATAGAGACATACACACACGAAATATATAAACAATACACGAGCACTGAACATATATATAGCACTGAACGTGATATTACTGCAGTAACAAACCACCGTTTCCACATTGCTAATTCACGACGCATGCTTCAGTGTATTGAAGTGAAATGTGCAAAACGTTGTCCAAAATAATACTGATAACAGTGTGTGTACTGTTTATATTAAGGCGAGACACGGCAGGCAAAAACATCGGGGGTTTTTTTACTGGTCAATTTTGAGATTTTTGGATATTTGTCTTCAATAACATGTCTTCTTTCAGACTTGTGGTGAAAAAAAGTCCGAAATACACATTTAGGTCTTTATTTTACTACACTTCGTCTGTTTGCGTCTGTAGATTTCTCACAAATTCAACAAAAGTTTGCGTTCTTAATCAACATACAAAGATCTCTGCCGTCACCCTCTCATCACATGCACCGTTAGGAAGCTCTCTCTCTTCTGTACAATCCTGTTGGATCCAAATATGGTCATTTCCTTTTTATCAGCAACCAATCGGGAAAGTAAAAAGACTGAATGCGCGATCTCATTGGCTGATGATAAATCTTTAAAGCCCGTTTACTCAAAATGACCTGCTTCAGCCATTTGCAGCTATGAAAAGTTTGGCGGCTGCAGCAGCCATTTAGGTTTTGGCTGAGCCGGGTAGCCAGCCAATAACTTCATCAGCCAGCCATTATTCTCAAAACAAATGGCTTCGGGCTCTAGTATGAGTGAATGATTCAATGACTTGCACATAAAGACATTCTGTCTGAAACAAACACACATACACAGACAAGCAGAGCGATACAAACAGTGAAAACTCCCGTTGCTGTTGCGCTAATATATTAATGACATATTAGCTCTTTTCCCTTTTTATTCTCTAGTGAAGAGATTGGTACTGTGCACACATGATGTCATCGGCCAATAAGTCACACAGCATTTATGATTTTGGTGATAGGCTCAAAAATAACTGGAAGCACCCATAGGTTAGCTTTCCACAGGTATTATAGACCTCTTTGGAAAGATCTGTGAAGAATGTGTGTTTTGTGTGTGTGCAATGCGCATTTTCAGCTGCCCCTCAAGTCAACAGATGAATGCTAATATTTGCTGAGCAGAGATAAGAATTGGAGGCGGACCAAGTAAAGGGAAAGCTCTGCATTGAGGAATGTGTCTTTGAAACACAAACCTCCTAATCTCTCTGAAAGGCAGCGGACCTCATCACCTCAGTGTGACACATGAAACGATCACACGGCCATGTGACCACACACACACAATGTCCCATATATGTGCACTAATATTAACATGCACAAACATAAAGCCATGTATTCCTTTACACTTAATTGAGGGCCGAATAAATGGTGTGTGTGTATGTACTTGGATTATTGCTGTATCGAGAATGGCCCCTTATCCAACTCCCTTCAACAATGTGTTTACACCGAAGCGCCCCTCACCTTACACACGCGAGCGATGCGTGACACAATGGTGTTGTCAAAGAAATCGAACTCCTTTCCCGCTTCACTGAAGAAGAAGTAAATCTTATCATCATCGCCGACCGTGTTGCCTTTGGGCAAACTCTCCTGAATGTAGGCTGAGCCCACAAAAGCGGGGTCTGTGGGAGAAATAAAAACAAGTGTCAATCCACGCCATGGACAGTACATCGAGACAGCAGCGTTTTTAAGTGATGTGGACTTTATGTCACAAATATAGCCACTGGTCCACCTGAAACCCCTTTTATATGAAAATCTTTAGTTGTAGTTCCCAATAGAAGATCTTTTGTTACACTATCAAAGTGCTCAGGATCGATTTTGCATATGCGCGTCTCTCATCAACTTTGCCACTTATGGCAAAATATTAAGCTATTATTTAGCACTCTTTAGTAAAGTGAGAAGGGTTTGACTGTGTAAACTGAAACTAAATTGATTTGTTTTGTTCTCTGTAGTCTTGCTTGATATGAATAACTCTCTGCTGTGCCAATATGGCCTCTTAGTGGTAACTTCAGGGGGACTGATGCCTAAAGAGAACAGAATTGGGAATTGGGCGACTTATAGAACCATTTACTTGCATGCTGTTTGCGCTATTGTAGTGCCCGAGTCACTTAGGAAAAGTTCCCCCCAAAATTTGTATTCTATTTTAAATATTAGATGAAAAACGTAAACTTAAAAACTTAAATGAAAATTTGTAGTGTTGCCTTCTAACTGAAATAAATAAGTCGAAGTACAAAAATTACTAAAACTAATAGGCTACAGAAATACTTTTAGAAAATGAAGACTGAAAACATACATTCTATACAGGTCATTCTATATATACAAATAAATACTATAAAAGTATATAAATAATACTCAATTCTGGGTATTTCCCGATCCGATCACGCGATCGGAAATCGGGCCCGATCACGTGGTTTCAGACTCGATCGGAATCGGACGTTACCTCCCGATCAGGACTCGGTAAATTAGGGGTGTAACGGTACAGTACATGTATTCGTAATTATTGAACCGTTTCGGTACGAGGCTTCCGGTTCGGTACGCATACAAACCGAGCGATTCCTAGGACCATTTTTCCTGCAGACAAAATCCGCGCTGGCGCGATCACCACAACGTTGCGCAACATCAAATGGCAAACGTAATGAAAGCGGAACAAAACTGCGTTACTCATTATACAGGTCCTTCTAAAAAAAATTAGCATATTGTGATAAAGTTCATTATTTTCCATAATGTAATGATAAAAATTAAACTTTCATATATTTTAGATTCATTGCACACCAACTGAAATATTTCAGGTGTTTTATTGTTTAAATACTGATGATTTTGGCATACAGCTCATGAAAACCCAAAATTCCTGTCTCAAAAAATTAGCATATTTCATCCGACCAATAAAAGAAGTGTTTTTAATACAAAAAAAAAAGAGTCAACCTTCAAATAATTATGTTCAGTTATGCACTCAATAGTCAATACTTGGTCGGGAATCCTTTTGCAGAAATGACTGCTTCAATGCGGCGTGGCATGGAGGCAATCAGCCTGTGGCACTGCTGAGGTGTTATGGAGGCCCAGGATGCTTCGATAGCGGCCTTAAGCTCATCCAGAGTGTTGGGTCTTGCGTCTCTCAACTTTCTCTTCTCAATATCCCACAGATTCTCTATGGGGTTCAGGTCAGGAGAGATGGCAGGCCAATTGAGCACATCATTAGCTTTCTCGTCTTACCCATGATTGCGGTTTTGAGTAATGAAACAGGCTGGGAGTTTTTAAAAGCCTCAGGAATCTTTTGCAGGTGTTTAGAGTTAATTAGTTGATTCAGATGATTAGGTTATTAGCTTGTTTAGAGACACTTTTCATGATATGCTAATTTTTTGAGACAGGAATTTTGGGTTTTCATGAGCTGTATGCCAAAATCATCAGTATTAAAACAATAAAAGACCTGAAATATTTCAGTTGGTGTGCAATGAATCTAAAATATATGAAAGTTTAATTTTTATCATTACATTATGGAAAATAATGAACTTTATCACAATATGCTAATTTTTTGAGAAGGACCTGTTTTGTGCTTAACGGACCATTTATCAGTTCGGACCAGCAACATCTGTGCAGCGCGAAATCAAGCGACACTGAGCTAAGAGATCCAGTGAAGAAAACATTTGAATTCGCCACTGAAGTAATAACATCGCTGCGAGATCTAGTGAGAAGCATTCACATTTCTCCGTTATTAACCGTAGATCTCTATTAGATCAAACAGCGCTGACGTGGGAACCAGGAGAAACATTGTGCTGTGAATGAACATGGATTTAATGTTGCACTTCAAAACTCAAATATTATATAAACATATATTTAAATGTTATTTTTAATGTGATTACCAAAACATTATTTGTTCATCCTTCCATGATTACCCCCATTTATAAACCTGAAAGTTTCAAGATGTAGAAAAACTCAAAATTATTTAAAAATAGTTTTTATTTTAATTCATAGGAAATTTCTCTGGCATTTTTTTTTTTTTTTTGCTGTATCGTATCGAACCAAACCGCAAATTTTGTGAACTGTTACACCCAGAATGTATATATATATATATATATATATATATATATATATATATATATATATATATATATACTCATTATTTTTTTATACACTTTTAAAACATTTTTATTTTTGTATTTTAAGTTGAGGTGCTGTTTGTTTTTATATTAGACTTTTTCTATATTTACTGTTGCACTAAAGTCCAAAGTGAAGATTTTATGTTATTTATTACTTGATTGTTCAAGCTACCTCACAGAAGTGCTCTGTTTGTTAACAGAGTTGTTGAATGTTAAAATAAGGTGAATTAAATAAAAAATAAGGAACATCCTGGATCTGTTTGTTCTCTCTTCTTTATTCTTTTTTATGTATTATATAAGTATCGGATCGGGACTCGGTATCGGTAAATACTCAAAATCAAATGACTCGGACTCGAGGGCAAAAAAAACCTGATCGGGACATCCCTACAATTCCATGGACCATGGAGGGATAGAAATCTCTCAGATTTCATAAAAAATATCTTCACAAGTCTTGCAGGTTTAGAGGAATGACATAAAGGTGAGTATGACCGCAGTTTTACTGTGAATATAAATGACGATGGTGAGGAAGAAATTCCTTTAAGACATTAGCGCCTGGTTAAACTGAATTGTGGGAACTTAGTGATTAAATAGCATACTGTGCGCGACTGTTAGTGAATCCGCTCCATTAAAAGCAGGTCTGTAGTGGATGTGGCTCTTACCTTGAAGCCAGTTCAGTGAGTTTTCAGTCTTTAAGGCTGTGCCCTGGCCAAGGCTTTTGTAAATGATAGGTTCGTTCCCTTGGAAGTTACTGACTGTCCCGGCATACAGTTCTCCATCTGTAAAACCATCATTCAAAGCAACAGACATTAATGAAGCAAATCAGAAAAGGGTGTCGCGAACTCTACTTTTCGTAGCACGTATAGTATCGGCATGATCTATAAGAATGCACTTTGACCAGTGTTATTGATAACTAAATCTAAATCTATCATCATCTAAAGGATCATTAAAACAAAGCTGCAATCAAATAAATGATTAATACTAGATCAATAAATAAATATTAAAGTTAAAAAACTGAAACAAAAATGAGAAATATTGCCTTGAAAACTAAGAGTGTGTTCACACTTGGCAGATTTGGTTCGATTAAAACAAACTCTGGTGCGATTGCTCTGTCAGTGCGGTTCATTTGCGGTTCAATGAAGTCCTAAGTGAATCAGGATTCAATGTATCATTTTCTTTTTTGGTGTGAACACACCCTAACTGAAATAGACAAGTTTAAGTTTTATACAGTGATGCCAAAATACTAAACGTTACACCACTTTTTGTAGCACGTACCAGCTAGGATGGCCGTGGACTTGTATTCAGGGTTGAAAGGACACCGGCTTCGACCATCTTCGGTGACGATTTCTCCCATTTCACTGCGCACCAGGGAAAAATCAGACGTGTTCTGGAGGGAAAAAGACACAGGGACATTCTTGTAAAGACAGCCAGCACTCTCTTGTATCGACTGTCCTGACCACTTACTGCCTGTGCAGATCTAAACAAGGACCTCATTTTGCTGAACAGAACGTCATGTTATTGCGATAAGTCTGAGGAGATAGCAAGAACAGGGAACGCACTCAACGCGAAGGGATGATGTGTGTGCTATCGACTGTGTGTGGGCCAAGGATCCTGATAAAAAGGATGTTTGGAGGGAGTCGCGGCAGGACGCACTTTCTCGTTTGTGTCTTTATAGGGGCATAAAGGTAAAATGCAAATCTGCAAACCATTTCAGGGGACAGCTGTCACAGAATCAGCTTGTGTATGCAAAGTACACTATCCTTAAGCTTCAATCTTAGTGGTCCGTGTCGACCCCTCATGTGCACAGACCAATCCAGGCATCGTCTCTGGAGTGAGGGGTCTAAGTAAAGTGCAGGGCAATAATCATTTCTCATCCGAACGGCATTTACCCTCGGGGAAAGCGGAAGAGTGTATTTCTGAGGACATTTTGATTGACTGAGTAAATTACATGGATAATTAATTCCTCCCCTGCAGTCTGTTAAAAGCATGGACGGAGGTGGTGAAATCCTGCAGCAGAATAGAACAAAATGAAACAGTACTTACGATGTAAGCGCAGATAGGGCTGAAAGCATACGTTCCACACACGTACAGGTGAGTGCTGTTCACACGCAGTAAAATCTTGATGTAATTGAAGCAGTCGGTCTGGAATGAGAAAGAGAAAGGAAAAAGGAAATGCATAAGAGAGGGAGAGACAGACAATGATTTAAGACATGAATGTGACGGTTATTAAAGTGATGGGCATTGATGCACCTATTAGATCACTTGCGCTGCATCCGAAATCGAATACTTCCCGAATGCGGAAATGCGGAAAACAGTACGCCAATAGAGTATATCCGAATACATAGTATTTGAAAAACAGCAGGCGAAAAGTACCCGAACTATCCCATGAGGCCACGGGTTGAATCGACGCAATTGACGCTGGTAGGTCACATCATAATGACAACATGGCGGATATAGTCTGGATTACATTCATACTACACACATTCAATATATTCTATAAATTCTATACTATATTTTTTTAATGGTCGCAAACACGAAGTAAGTTCAAATTTAAATGTAGTACCTACTCAGTACGTGATTTCGGATGCACCGTTGGAGACTTACGACTTTCTTTCTTTCAAAAAGATATTTAGCTAAATATCTTTTGTCCATACAATAGAAGTCAAAAATTTTCCAATTCAGTTTGATTCCCAACATACTTCAAAATATCTCCTGTTGTGTCCCACAAACATTAAACAGGTTTGGAATGGCATGAGGGTAATTGATAACGAATTTTCATTCTTGGGGGAACTATCCCTTTAAGAAAAACATAGTTTTTTTTGTTTTTTGTTTTACATAGGATTGTTTGAACGTTATATAAAGGTGAATGTAACTAAGCACCAGGCTGTGTGCACAAGTGTTGCTTGGCTGTGGCTCAGAATTTGTTTTCACATCACTAGGTTTGATCTAAATCCTCTGTAATAGTCTGGGAGAGGTTTCTGGCAGCTGCGTGTCATCGGCCTCAAGAAACAGCAGTTATTACTGTCTTCATCAGGGTCCCAACATCCATCCAAACCTGGCTCTCAAGACAAATCAATCTGGCAGCAAATTAGGCATGCGGATTATTAATCTAATAACAGCCCTTATGCCGTGTCAAGCTTTCAGGGAAATTACAGTGTGGACTTGTCAAGGCAATAACGGACCCTATGAACTGAAAGTGGTGCGACGGGCAGTTTCTCAGATTCAAATTTCGCCCAACATCTACTTTAGAGACCTACTTCTTACTTGAGTTACAGTTCATGAATCGACATGAAACGTCATGTTCAAATATACAGACATCTCTCCACTTGGTTTGATGAATATCTCATTCACTTACCAGTAAGTCTTTCCCTTTGAAACTGCACTCGTCTCTCTTTCTCTGTGGCGTGCTCCATGTTAACTGAAAAAGTGAAAATCGCAAGCTGACTGAGTTGAGCGGTCTCGGCAGCTATAGTGCATTTACAGAAACATCATGCATTAACAAGCACATTTGCATTGAGTGGGCCTTCAGTGAGTCACCTTGGCTGTAACATAGCCTTTCTGTTATGTTCAAAATGAATCAAGCAACACAAAATATTTGCAGTGAACTGTGAAGGTCTATTTATGACTTAAAAAGTTAATTTGTTGCAAAGTATGATGTCAAAATACAATAAGGAGGAAGTGGGACAACTGGTAAAGTAGGACACTTGCACTGAATGAAAAAGGACACAAAAACCCAATAAAAGTAGGAGTGATCCTTATGACTTCAGCACTACATTTCAAGTGTTCTGAAATCACACGAAAGCTTTATGTGATGATTGGATTGAAATTTAATTCATTATTCATTGATAATCAATGTCATACAATGTACCGTAACAAAATTGAACGACATAGTATGGCATTGATGTAGCCATTTGGATAATATTTTTTTTAAAAATACCAATGACAAATTATTAGAAAGTGACCCACTTTACCTGCGTTTACACTTATGTGTGCGAGTTGTTGAACACAAAAGAAGATGTTTTAAAGAATGTCGGTAACCAGACAGTTGATGGTAGCCATTGACTTCCATAGTAGCCATTGACTTCCATAGTAGCCATTGACTTCCATAGTAGCCATTGACTTCCATAGTAGGGGGGAAAAAAGTCAATGGCTACCGTCAACTGTCTGGTTACCGACATTCTTTAATATCTTCTTTTGTGTTCAGCAGAAGAAAGTCATATGGGTTTGGAACAATATAAAGGTGAGTAAATGATGACAGAATTGAAATTTTTGTGTGAACTATCCCTTTAATTGATGCTTAGATTCAACATCAATGATATTCTACTCTCATTTGAACCTTAAATGAATAATTCCCATATTACAGACTGATGCACATGCTTATAAATTCTCCAAAATGCAACACACAGACATACTCACATTACGCTGCAGCTGTGTTCTGCTGATATCGGTGATATTGAGTGCGAAGAGAGTCTCTCGAGCGCCAACGTACAGCATGTTATCCTCTTTACTGAGGAGCAGAGAGGTGTAATTGAAGACTCCATTGGGTGAAAATCTCTTGGCCGACCTCTCGTTTGCATCTATGAGTAGATATGGAAAAAAGAGAGGGGAGAGGGTGGAATGTCAGCAAAACCCAGCCAATAAGATTTACTACTGGAAATAAGATAAATGTGCAAAAGTCAGATATGTGATTGTGCTTTTCAGCTGGTTTCAACTGATATTGTCTTGTAAAAAGCAACCCAATAATCTAAATGTTTTATTTACAACTGCGAAAAATCGATTGCAATTTTAACCAAGACTGTAAAAATGCAACGGTAAAAACCTGTTCATTGGTTAAAAAGTTACGTAAGTTCCCATACGGAGTAAAAACTGTAATAGATCATTATTATCTATTATAATAGATAATTTTACGGTAAAAAAGAACAAGTGATCTAATAATTCACAATGAAAAGCCGTAAACTGAAATTTCCCACATTTGATGTTTAAAAAAAAAAAAAAATTAATGTTTGTTCTTAGTTTTTTTTTTTATATCAGTTATGTATATTAGTGTTTTATGTTGTTGAATGAATGTTTATTGCACTATATTAGTGTCGTGTGTGTTGCATGAATGTGTTTTGTATTTGTATTTGTTTAACTTCTATATTTTACCTCAGCTTGTGGAAAACCTAAGGGTGATGAACTTTGATTTATTATGGTTTTCTCTTTACCACCAGTGTTATTATGATGGATGTCAGTATATGTTAAAGTTAAAAAACAGATTTTAGTAGCAATTGGATTCTATTTTTTTTTAGTTTAAAACTGTAAAACTGACAGTAGTTTAGTAGGTCGTATTTTCTTATACTTTGCATATTTTTTTAATCAATTTTTAATTAGGGCATTTGTTTTGATATTATATATTCACTATTATTTATTTATTTAATTTCCCCCCTCCTGAACAAACCTTAGATTCACCTTTAGTTCATGACGTACCCGTTATGAAACCCTGCTTTAGGGTATTAGACAATAACGTCAAATGTTTACTGGCTGGCAGTGAGAAAACTAAAACCTGTTGCAACAGCAGTGTCTGAATCACTGTTGAATGAGCATTTGTGTGTGGCCACATATAGCTCAGAGCCAGATGTTCATCTCTTAATCAAAGATATTGCACTGCATCATTATCATGGCAGCTCCTGCAGGCTGTTTCTCTGTTCCCGTGACAACGGCATCAATAAAAAGTAGTATATTTCCTACCAGTAGGGGGTGTTTGCTAAGAGGGTTAGTGGCACTGTGATTGGCTCAAATCCCCTTCAGAATGCCAAATCATACTTTTGCATGGCTTTTTATGACTTCAGACAAGCCACTTGAGAATTTGGTGGTGATTCAGAATGTGTGTGAAATGAAATGTGTGGAAATAATGTCTCTCCATAGGCTGTCATAACCAAGCACTCTCATGCTGCAATGACATCATTCCAAGATACCAGCTTCTCAGGTCTTAAGATGCATGTCGAATCAATGTCAACAGGCTGTAAATACAACCTTCAGCACTGCATGGCAAACACAGTGTTCTCCTCATCTGTCATTGGCTTAAAGCTTGAATCTTATTAAGCTTACATTTGAACTGTATTTTTTCCCCAGTTTAATATTCTGAAATAAAATCAAATTAAGGAGTATTAAGGAAAACTGTTCCAAAAAAATGACAAAAGTTATTAGACACTCATCCTTTCACTGGCCACAATTTTGATACCATGGGGAAAAACTGCCATGTAGATATGTTAAATATTAACAGCAGGAATATTGGGCTGCGGTCACTTTAAGACCTGACGCACAGATCCATTATACTGTTACACATGCATTTTCCTTCTCAACTGTTTATGTTCACTTAAAACATAACTGACTGTGTTTAAGTGAATACTCACCAAGACCAGCATTTTGACATTATTTGTGTGTGTATTTGACTGTTTAAGTGCAATAAGCAGCGAAAAAGAACTCAATTTAGTACTGAGAGGCGGCTTTATGTGCGCGCAATTTGGGTGTGAGCACAAAATATGCGTGAATGAGTAAAATTATGTGCAATACGATGACACGATCAATTCCATGCCAAATTCAAGCCCTGTAAGACCAACAATATTGATCCGGAGCAAATGAAACCAGTGAGTGCAGGAGAGGCGGGTTTGTGTGTCGACTCGCTGTCGGAGAGATAAGAGAGAGAGAAAGCGCAGCTGATATCGTGTATCTATTCTGCGGGAAATAATGAGTATTCGGAGAGTTTCAGTATCAATAAACAGGCCTATTGAAATGAATAGGCCACTGCTGAAATCCACCCACATTTGGCGGGTGTTAATGTCAAGCCATGTGTAATACATATATACAACCTATGCTGTTGATTTACATAATTTAAAGAGTCCTAGAAATCCATCCACTCCTGGTAGGTCTTACTTGGAGAGCAAGTAATGATTACACTGAATATGAATATGTTCCCGTGGGTGACTTTGGGCTGAGGTAAGACTCTAAAAGCGTCCGTGTCTCTGGGAGCTGCTGCAGAAGGTCTGCGCTCACTTCCTTAGTCCCGGGGGAGACAATGCGGTAATAATAGGGCATCAGCCCTCAACCAGAAGGGCTTATTACCACTGAATCCAGTCTGCTAAACCGCAGGAGGGGATCAACACGGCACATTAGTGGCACGCTACTGGGGTCTCTGCCTCCGTGTGTCTCGTGTTTCCCCTCTCTCTGATTACAGGATGAAACAGGGCACCACTCAGCACTGGCAGCGTTCATTTCAGAGGGTTTGGGGAGAAATTTAATGGCGATTTAGTGAGACAAGGACAAAGGGCAATATCTGCAACCAAACAGGGCTTAAGTGGGATTTGTACAGACAGAAAGCGTTCCCTCGATTATCCTCCAGAGTGGCACAGCTGTAACGCTTCTCCCTGCAGCTCACACAATGAGGCAAATAATTGGCCCCCATCAGGGAAAAATCACATATGTGAATGTTTTACTGAACACTTTCCTGTAAAAACGACATGATGACAGTGAGTTGTGGTTCAGCTATTAAGTTTTACTTAACAGTATATTGTAAAAAAATATATATTTTTAATTTTACTTTAACATTTTCTGTTTAATTATGTTTTACCTGCCATTTCTTTGTAATTATTTGTAAAAAAAAATTACTAGGAATTATTTCAGTAAAAAATGTGTATATACAGTACGCAGTGTGTGTGTGTGTGTGTGTGTGTGTGTATATGTACACTCACCTAAAGGATTATTAGGAACACCTGTTCAATTTCTCATTAATGCAATTATCTAATCAACCAATCACATGGCAGTTGCTTCAATGCATTTAGGGGTGTGGTCCTGGTCAAGACAATCTCCTGAACTCCAAACTGAATGTCAGAATGGGAAAGAAAGGTGATTTAAGCAATTTTGAGCGTGGCATGGTTGTTGGTGCCAGACGGGCCGGTCTGAGTATTTCACAATCTGCTCAGTTACTGGGATTTTCACGCACAACCATTTCTAGGGTTAACAAAGAATGGTGTGAAAAGGGAAAAACATCCAGTATGCGGCAGTCCTGTGGGCGAAAATGCCTTGTTGATGCTAGAGGTCAGAGGAGAATGGGCCGACTGATTCAAGTTGATAGAAGAGCAACTTTGACTGAAATAACCACTCGATACAACCGAGGTATGCAGCAAAGCATTTGTGAAGCCACAACACGCACAACCTTGAGGCGGATGGGCTACAACAGCAGAAGACCCCACCGGGTACCACTCATCTCCACTACAAATAGGAAAAAGAGGCTACAATTTGCAAGAGCTCACCAAAATTGGACAGTTGAAGACTGGAAAAATGTTGCCTGGTCTGATGAGTCTCGATTTCTGTTGAGACATTCAGATGGTAGAGTCAGAATTTGGCGTAAACAGAATGAGAACATGGATCCATCATGCCTTGTTACCACTGTGCAGGCTGGTGGTGGTGGTGTAATGGGGTGGGGGATGTTTTCTTGGCACACTTTAGGCCCCTTAGTGCCAATTGGGCATCGTTTAAATGCCACGGCCTACCTGAGCATTGTTTCTGACCATGTCCATCCCTTTATGGCCACCATGTACCCATCCTCTGATGGCTACTTCCAGCAGGATAATGCACCATGTCACAAAGCTCGAATCATTTCAAATTGGTTTCTTGAACATGACAATGAGTTCACTGTACTAAAATGGCCCCCACAGTCACCAGATCTCAACCCAATAGAGCATCTTTGGGATGTGGTGGAACGGGAGCTTCGTGCCCTGGATGTGCATCCCACAAATCTCCATCAACGGCAAGATGCTATCCTATCAATATGGGCCAACATTTCTAAAGAATGCTTTCAGCACCTTGTTGAATCAATGCCACGTAGAATTAAGGCAGTTCTGAAGGCGAAAGGGGGTCAAACACAGTATTAGTATGGTGTTCCTAATAATCCTTTAGGTGAGTGCATATACACATACATACAAACACTTTGGAAGTTTTTTCCGCCACGGAATAAAACAATTTAAAAGATAATTGCGACTTTTTATCTCGCAATTATGGAATTATGGAAGCTTGGCGGAAACAAGCTTCCATAATACACACATTTATAGGAAATCACAAATTGATATCTAAATATTAGTGCTTTCAAATAGATTAATCACATCTATATATATATATTTACAAACTTTTGTTAGATGCGATTAACCAATTTGACAGCACTACTAAATATTAATGCTTCAATTTTAATTTTAACATTAAAGTATTAATAATAATATAATACAATTTATATTCAAATGTTAATATAAAATAAAAGCTTTTATCTTAAAGTATTTATTTAATATTTATATTATATTAATATTTTTTTATTACTCCACACAGCTCCTGTCCTACTACATAAATAAATGAATGACTTCCAGTTAGTTCCCTCTGAGATAGTGAAAAAGGCGGCTTAAATATGACCAAGTGTAAAAGTAATGCAAGCACCAGTTATTTACTATTAGTATTGTCTTAGTCATTGTATGATGTCTTAAAGGAATTACATGGTGCAACACAAGCTATAAAACATATACAGAGCTGTATAAACACCTGCTCACGTCCAGCA